ATTCAGCTGCTGCACATGTACAAGAAACAAGCACCACCACTAACATCTGCTCATGTTTCACCTGATCCTTTATTGCCAAAACATGCTCTTCTTCTGTGGTGGAGGTCTGATCTGCTGCTGAAATGTCAGTGCCGTGTTGGGACTGCCACTGGCTCCAGGATTATTCAGTAACCTGCACATTTCTTGTTAATGTTCAACTGGAACAACTGGAACTGTACAGTATGCCGTTTTGTTCTTCTGGGAGTTTATCTCATTGCTACTCATCCAGGCATGTAAGTCTGTGTGTTCCTGTTTACCTGAAAAGATTGAAGTTGTGAAGATCCAAATTGGTACAATTTGAAAATGAAAACCCCCACTTTTTCTCAGTCACTAAATACATAAAACTAGAGCAATTTCATTCAATTTTACAAATAAAAACAAAGTTCTGATGCATACATTTTACTCTCCACACATTTTCTGTTGCATTCCACACCATTGTACCCTCTAAAGCAACCACCAGGTCAAAGGCCAACACCAGGGCCCCGAAACAAACAATGAGCTTGTGCAGTCATTCTCGATGACCAAGAAGTTTTATTGTGAAAATCAGAAGTGTCTGTGTCCTGTCTGACAAGTCAGATGATTTGTTTGGCATGAACAGTGAAGTGTGTGGTGCGGCTCAGGAGGAAATTTCTGTTTTATGGCTAGTAACATCAACATTTATAGTTAGTAATATCTGTGTCCCCAACTAGATTTCCTTACAGCGTACTAAGAGTGAAATATAGAAACTTACTTTAAATCACAGGCTGTCAAAGTGGGAACAAAACATACCTCCAGCATGTAGAAACTGATACATGTTTGGTAAGTTCTTATAGATTTAACGTAAAGTCGCGTCCAAACGTTCAGACCTACAGGTACAAAATCACCAGAGGGCTGTTTCATAAAAGTAGAATTACAAAATCCAGGATAAGAGATAAAGCCAGGCTTGACATAGCACCATCATCCTGACTCATCCTGACTTTTATCAGTATCACAAATACCAAACCAGATTCAGGAGGTGCAGCTATGTTGAGCCAGGCTAAAGTAATTCAGATTTCTTCAACAGACCAATGAGATCGATCACAGATTCGCTGATGCTACGCACTATATAAACTGTGTACATCATAAGTCACACCAAACAAACAGCATCTTTTTATTGAGGATTGTGAGGAATTGAAGCTCTTCATATTCAAGAAAAGAACCCTGCTACAACAGCAAATGATAGCAGATCAATTGAATACATAATTAGTGCAAAATATACATTTCCAAACCATTTTTTAACTAAAAACCATCCTAATCATACTTGTAATTGCTCAAATAAATAACTTTAACTTAATATGAACATTCATGTTAGTCTTTTTTAACATCTTATGAATATTTATACAGAACAAACAAAATTAAACATAAGAGCATTTTGCAGTATCTAGGAAGTATGTGAATAAAATATTTACTAGAATGTGCAAATGACTTACTAATAACTTGCAAAGTCCCTACCTATATCGCCTTTAATTAGTTTTACCTATAATTTACTTCCTGATTGAGTTGTGATGCTTTTGTTTTGAAGGGACAATCTATTGTTTAACTGTTAGCGCAAAGACAGCTTAACAGATAAAATGCATCTAATTATCAGCCCCCTTGATGGAGACAAAAGCATATTTATGATGTAAATAAGTACAAGTATCAAAAGTATGCTAAAACTAATATGGACTTGTTTTATTACAATACAATTGTTTCTTTATCAGCCATTTCTCTAATCCTCTCAAAACAGCAATGGTCTACTAAAGGCCTTTCTGTCAAACTGGAACAGTGGTCTCCAGAAACCCAATCGAACAGTAACATAATCCACATGGATCATTTAAAAATTGATAATAGTATTTTCTACCATCATAATGTTAAAATACTTGACTGGATACCAATATTACCTTATAGTATTTCATGCAGCATAATTAAAAAGATAGAAGCAGACAGACTAGAAAACAGAATCAGTAACTAAATTCATTGCTTTCTGATCGGTGTGATCGATGACTGAACAGATCAGGCTCCAGGCTTAACTAAACCTGGCTGTCAGCATGGTGTAGAGCAGCTTAGCTGCACAGGATAAATCGCCATGGTAACTTATACATTACTGCTTTTGTAGATGGAGGTTTAACTCAGCCAGGATATCTGGAAAATCTTAAGGAAAAGCTTCATCTGCTACCCTGGTTTTGTGAAACAGTCATCAGCAAAGTCAAAAATGGCAAATGCCCTGATGAACATCACTGCTCAATATCTGGAAAATATAAAATCATGCAACCATTGTTCATTAAGGTTTGATAAACTCCATCAAATGAAATATGATGTTCTACCAGACATTGTGACAAAGAGGTCTATTGCGATTGCCTTGTTGAACACACTGACACTACACTGATAGTTCATATTTAGAATACTGCACCTTTCTACTTATAAACAAAGTTTCCATGTAAGCATGGCTAAAAAAATATATATTGTGTGAAAAAGTACAATATTCACTCATTTCACAAAGTAAAAGTCATATTTGTCACACATAGAGTGAAATATTTCAAGCCTTTATTTATTCCAATATTGGTTAAGGCTTACAGATAATAAAAGTGTACAAATCAAAGACCTCTTGCCTTAGCTCCAGACATGCAATGTTAAGAAAATATTTGCAAATTGGTCTTCACTCATCTGACTTTGAGTCATTATGGTCGGCCTTATGTTAGAAGCTCCAACAGCTTCACACTTCTTCAAGGTTTATGAGTGTATAGGATTTATGGTGATTATGTAGGGAACATTTGTGAGGCTAGACACTGGTGTTGGACAAAAAAACTCTACCCAACTCTACCTCGACAAAGGTCTAAAAATCAACCACAGTTGTCTTCTGCGCTCCTGTGAGAGAGGTTTGACTGACAGACCGGCCTACCAGGTCATGTCTGCACAGTTAACAATAGTCACTCCACTGTTACAAACTCAGTGACTTTCTCACTACATTAAGCAACATTTCAGACAAAAAATTGCAATCAGCCAAAACTGGAATTGGCAAGTCAGGCTTTTTAAAGACTGTAACCGGCTTAATTGAAGGTATGGAAGCGATTGGAACACTTGAATTCAATACTTTGGATGGTTAATCCAATATTTATGGATTAGTCAAAATGTTGGGTAATCCAATATGCCCAATAATGGCTACATGTAGTGTATGTAACTTCACATAGGTTACATACACTACATAACAGTGTATGTACATGTTGTCAAGCCTAGTTCAGACCCAGAAAATGTCTTTCCATTATTGACAGAGTGCAGCAGGCAGGTCAGTTGTGGCAATACAAAAAAATAAAAACAGGCTAGAAGGTAACAAATATCCCAGCACCTGTATCATTTTATGGCAGCATGCATATAGCGGCTTATATGACAACACAATAAATATAATTAAGCAGAAAAGAACATCTATTAGTTAAATATGTGGTTTATCTTATGTCTTCTGTATGCCAATGACATTCACCTAAAATTTGGTCATGAGAGTAACGTTTTAGTTTTTAGCTATAGAGATCAGAGCTTTTACAGATGTTTTATAATCTATAAGCAAAAGTATTATATTTAGTGACTTTTCAGACAAAACAAATTTGCATAGTACAAAACAAAAATGAGCAGGGCAGGCTTTTTAAAAACTGGCAATCGACCAGAAAACTCCAATCGGGGCATCCCTACCATAAAGTTAACTTTCAGTAACCACAGTCAGTCTTTACTTACTAATCATACAGAAACAGCAATAAAGCTAGATTTTTTTTCCTAAAAAAATCACACCTTTCACAGCTTTTCTACAATGACACTCCCTATCCCAACAAAATTTTGTCAGATATTGCACAACACACATACTTATGAATCTGATATTTTAAGACCTGTAAATACTGCATTGTCTATGCTGATGTAGGAGAAATACAAAAGCTAAACTGAGTCAAAGACCTAGATCCCCTTTAACCTGATTTATTAAACCAAAACAAAACTATTTTTTTCATTTTGTTTTTGAATTTTGTAACCCCTAATTATGTGGATATTTTTGTAACAAAAATATCCACAAGAGAAAACTGTATTTTCCACTCTTCTTTCTCTCAGTCTGCATAGCTTACACATAGAAACTGATATTTATGGTTACTAATGGAAACCATACCAATCATTAATATAAGACCTTAAAATTATATATAAATAATTACTGCTCATCAAAAAAATGCTGAATGATGAGTAATCTATTATTACTTTTAAACATCTTCGATATAAGTAGAAATGAAAAGAAAAATCTGGAATATTTGTAGTTTCACTAAAATAGTTTGAGATCAGAAATGTTGAGTAAAAGTCTAAGTGATACATATTATAAAATGTATCAAATCAAACTGCAAAAATAAAATACAGTATTTGCTTAAATAACAATATTAGGGCAATATTCTATAAAACTTTCACAGGTTTTTTATTCAATTGAATTTAATGGTGTTTCAGAATCTATTTGCAGTCTGAGGTAAGCATTTTTAATGGTGTGTAATTAACATTATATTTATTTACAGTAATATATTGTAATAATTACTTTTTATTTAACTATATTCGTTATTATTTCTAATACTTTTCAGTAGTATTACTTATTTTAATTGCATTCATTTTGTTAAGAGAGTATTATACCGATGCAAAAAATTGACACGTTGGGTTGATGTGTATGATCAGGCTGCGGGGACGTCACTTCCTTCACTTTTATCAGAAGCCAAAGGGCCGCAACGATCATCTCTGTCCACACAACCACCAAACTTTCACAGTTCAACTGCGTCAAGTTGTTTTCTGACTCTTTTCATGGAAAATGAGAGCAGTAGTCTGTAATGAGCTGTAAGCAGATTACTGCAGTTTTGGATGTTGAACTCTGACCACGCAGCTGCACCAGAAAAAAAAGGAAAAAAAAAAAAAAAACTTTTCCTGACATGACAGCAGAGGACAAAAATGAACACACTCACCCTTCTCTGACGCGGCTTTATTTCCCTCTTCATCCCGGCTCACTTGGGTGATTACTGAGGACGGATTGTCCATCACGTCCAGATCCCGGATCTCACGCTTTAAACTTATGGGTTGTTTCGCCGACTCCGGTGCTGTTGCATGAACTGAACATGTACGAAAACAAAACTGAAAGGCGCCGGAAAAGTGGCAAAGCAGTCGCCTAAAGCGCATCCATTAGCTCTGCCGCAGGGTCTACTCTCTAAGCCGCTGACGTAGAAAGTTAGAAAGTTACCAAACATTTGTTTTAAAGAGTTGGTAACTTTGATTCAATATGGTGCTCAACTCCGTTCGCAATTTCAAGATACAAACATGGAGGTTTCAAGGCGCCCCTTTTTCACTTAAAGTGGCGCAGGAAGAGGGAACCGCCGTCACCGACACTCCGCCTCGCCGCGTCGACACATTTAGCTACGGTCCCTTAAACCGAACAGGACAAAGTTGCTCCAAAAGTTACACTGTGTTCTTTTAAGTTCAAAATACTCTATGTACCTTCATAATATATCCATGATTTACCGTGTAAACTTGTTAAAGTGCGCAAAATGCGTTCGGGACAGAAGGTTACGGTCTGAATGTGACTTAAAAAGCCGAAACTAAATGATAAGTACGGTATTCAAAGACAGCTTTGAATAACAACTGTTCAGTTGTTACGAATAGTGTTTTTTGGATGTCTAGGTTGATGCAGGCTGCAACCTTATAGACTGGTTCTAAAAACAACCTCAAGAGCAAAACTTTTTTAAACTTTTATTTTTCCTTTGAAGTGGCAGCAGCTCAGGAACGCCCAGTTCGGGTCTCCTTGAAACTGCCTACAGTAAGGGAGCATCACGAAAAAGTTTCTTTAACGTCAACAAAAACTGTTTACGTAATTTTTATAAATAAAAAGAAAATGTATGCAATACAATATTTTTTTATGTTTGAGCAAAATAATTCTTTTTTGTTCCCTTTACGATTAAGAATTATGTGGGGGGAAAACGTAACTGCGAAATAATATATATATATATATATATATATATGCGTACATCCGCACTGGCCACAATATCAGGTACACGTCTTTCTTCATATAACTTCCTCAAGTCTAATTCAGATATATAAAATAACAGTCCTCGGAGATTTTTATTCATATTCTTCCGTAATATTACTACACGGTTCCTCCAGAATTGTTGCCAAAGTCGCCATAACGCTATTTTTTATTTACTGAAGATTATTTTTCGAAAAGACAAAACATATATATACAAATGCTGTACAAAATCCAATAAACTGACCTTATGCATTATGGATTATTCTTTTTCTTTTTCAGTCCTGAGGGGCAAGCGAGGAAGATAAACTTGTTTTTGGGCGCTTTTTTTTTTTTAGCTTTTGTGTTTAGTAGTACCTCTTCTAGCCACAAGAAGGCACCCACGGCTGAGTTCATGGAGTATTCTCAAGTAGTCAAATTTGCCTAATTATCAACATCAACGCATTCCAATTTCAGCCTTACCAACACAATCCATTTCATAACCATTAAATCCATTGCAGATTGTCATTATCGGTTGATGATTTTTTTTTTTTTTTAAGATTTTTTTGGCTCTATAGTGGTCTTTATTTGAAAGTGCTAAGACAGAAGTCTTAGCACTATAGAGCCAAAAAGACTCAGGCAGCTGTGGCACATAGCAATCTTTACCTACATTCCTATGTAGGTAAAGAGAGAGGGAGGAGACATGTGGCAAAGGTCATCAAGCCAGGAATTGAACCTGCAATGACCGCATTGAGGACTAAGACCTATTTATGTGGGATGTGCTTAACCCATGGGCCACCACAGCACCTCTGATATTCAGTCTTTTTAAGGAATTATGGACAGAGATGCTCATAAAAACTACTCAGGATTTTCTGAAAACTAGTATTAAGATTCATAATATTGGGGTCAAGTATGCACACCTCCTTACAGCACCCAATGATAAAAAAGTGTAGAAAAACATACCAAGTGAGAATGATTTTTATTCAAATTCAGTCCATACAAATGGACTGAATTTGTATGGTGTGTTAGTAGCATAGCTAACCATATGCTTCTGCATGTGAAAATGACTGCCGGATAATTTCTAAGGTCAGAGAAAAATAACGTTTAGATCATGTTCCCTTGCCATTCAGGGCTCCCATAGACCCTAAACCACACTTAGCAAAACACATAATATTCTGAAATGTATGAATATTTTATTACATACTATCTCGTAAAAACATTTTCATCTTTTTCCACATATAAACACCGCAACTGGGTACATTTACAAATCTTGAACCATCCAAAGTCATACAAAAGGACTGATAGAGCAATACATGAGGCATTCAAATGTTACAAGGACTCCATGTATATTTGCCTAAATCTGTGTATGGATGAGTTACCTCTTGTAATATCCAGATACTGCAACCGATGAAGACACACATTAAATATGAACATTTTTGACATTTATCCGAGGCACTGACTGGACGACCGAGATTTAAGCAACCAGATCAACCGACTTGTAATACTGACAAATTATGGCAACTAAGTGTCACATTACACTTTATAGAAAATCCACTGTTCACAGCTGGATCATGATTTAGAGTTGATCACAGAGCAAGAAGCAAGATTCCCCATAAACAGTTTCCCTTTAGACTCAACATCAATAACAAGCATCTTCTTTATTACATTTTTTTTTCTTTTTCGCCTTACAGTTATATCGAAAACTGACTCAAAAATATGCACACACATGCAAATAAATTAACATGAAAAAGCAAACATATCTTAAAGAAGGGAAAAACAATATTTTTGGTGTTTTAAAATGAGAAAATGTAGAATAAGTTAGCAGTTTTAATAGTGGTACATTAGCATGACGATTACCACCAAACTGCATGACAAAAATGGGTTTTTAAGATAAAACTACTAAAGAAAGCATCTTGGTATCAACAGTGATGGGCACTGCTAACTGAAAAGTTAGCTATACTAAACCTAAAGCCCTAATCATCAAGATTAGTTCCGCTAATGCAAATGCACTACACCAACATTGTATTTAGTGGAAGCTAATACTAATGTTCTATAATTCAGTTATGTTAGCACATTTATGTTTTTATCTTGTTCTGTGATGCATATTATTTTGTTTCTGTATGTTTCTTGTACCAACTTAAGTTGGGGTTTAGCATTAGCTAGACTACAACCCTCAAGAACCAATTTAATTATGACATAATTTCCATGTTCTATAATTCAGTTACATTTTTTAATTTATGTTTTTATCTTGTTCTGTGCTGCATATTATTTTGTTCCTGTATGTTTCTTGTTTGCTTTAAAGTTATTTGGTAAAAAGAAAATGAAAAAGAATGTTCGGAGAGGAAACAGAACTGGTAGCAGATGTCAAATGGTTTTCAACTGAAAGTTTACAAAACAACCAAGTAAATTAGTGCTTTAGAATTAATTTGGAAATATTAATTTAGGGTAAACTAAGTGCACTTTTCTAGGTTAGCAAATGGCTGAATGAAAAATTAGTTATAGTATAGTGGGCACACTTCCAGTTATGAGTGGAAGTGTGCCCATCACTGGATATCAAATGTAGGGCAAATAAAAGGCAAAGTTAGAATTAACAAATGACAAAGAGGCTAAAACCAAAAGTCTTCCTGTCCTTTTAATACAGTTTATAAGGAGTTCATGAGTTGAATGTATTCTCTGTGGTCTGCAGCTCCTGTTAAGTTTTTATTTGTTCCAAAGTAACACATGGATTCCCGTGTGGGTCCAACTGTCTGCCCACGGTGCTTGATATCAGCAGTTGTTCTGTTGGGGCTACTCCTGCCCAGTGTTCACTTGGGACTGGGTAGGTGTGGCATGGTGCCAGACGCTGGGTTGCGTGGTGAGCCTTGGTAGGTGCGCAGCAGCACCTTGTGCTTGGTGGCGGTCTCTGTGCGACAACTCTGCTGCTCCACCAGGAACTCCTTCAGTCGGCTGGAGGTGAAGGTGAGCGTCTGCCTCCGGAGTTTCATCAGGTACGAGTCCTGCAGCCAGGCCTGGGTGAAGCAGTCACGCGTGGTTGGACGAGCCCTGAAAACACACAAATGCAATTTAGGATCTTTATGCTCATAAATCTTGCTGATTTTTTATCACATTATGTTGGATAAATGAGCAGTCACCATGGATAACTGCTCAACATCTTCTTGAGAAAAACTGAGGCACTTTGGGAAACATTTGGGTAAAGTTTGCTAGGGTCAAACTTGGCCATCAGGATTTTAGATTCAACTTGCCGAGGGTCCTTATCTTCAAAGGGCAGTCGACCACTAAGCCTGAGAGAAAAGAACAAACAATATTAAAAGCTTGACAGCAGCTACAGTACAGAACATATCACACTGAACCATTAACACTTCATACCATAAGTGAGGTTGTGTGAAGTATGTATGAGAAGTCAGAGGTAAACCAAGACTCTTTGCCATGTTTTAAAAATACTCAAAGTTTTTAGATTATGCAGCCTTTTGGTATTTGACTGTTGATTTGATAACTGCTTCTTTTGCCAGCCAGAAAACAAATTCCTCTCATTAAACCTAAATTGCTAGGGTGGATGAAAGAAATAAAATGAAATAACATGAGACTTATGTAGTGCTTTTCAGGAGCCTCAAAAATGTTTTACAATGAAATGAGTCATTAACATTCACACACTGATGGTGGCAAGCCACTGGATAGCAGCTACAGCTGTACTGGGATAGTCTAAAAATGGATGAATGAACAGATGGACAAATGGACACACAAACAATGAAATTGTTGGATGGACAGATGGTCAGTCAAACTGATGGACAGATGGATGGGCTGATGGATGATTTGAAAATTCAGAATTAAAAAACATTCCTCCTGTCCAGTAGATCATCTCCACAAACTGTTATTCCAATTCTCTCCCATCAGGAATCCAGACTGACCTTCCAAAAGTAAATGATGACTTTAAGGATGTGATGAAACTTACATGATGTAGGTGACGACACCAACGGTCCAAATGTCAGCAGGAGGACCAACAACTTCCCCTTTGATCATCTCAGGAGCTTAACAGGAGGAAGATGTTTGAGAATCAAACTGTGCTTTTGTTTTGAAGTGTGGAAGATGAGTTGTGACGTGGATCCTTACCCATGTACTCCAAGGTTCCTGCTCCTGTGCCCTTGGGTTCCAGGTGGAGGGGGTTGAAACTCTGAGCACTGCCAAAGTCTACAATCTTAACCACGTTAAGGTTAGTCACCAGGATGTTCTCAGGCTTGAGGTCTAGGTGGAGGACTCTGCGGTTGTGGAGGTACTCCACCGCCTGGAGGATTTGAACCAGGTAGCCAACTACATCATCTTCTGAATACCGAAACCTTAAAAAAAGGGAGCATTTAAACAGCTGCCTGAGTCTATAAACCTCAGCTTGATATTCTCCTTCCTACCTGTCAGCGAGGCTGAACAGCAGCTCTTTGCCAGTGCAGTATTCAGCCACCAACACCAGGTACCGTGGTGTGACATAGGCCTCGTGGAGAGCCATGACCTTCTCACTATGAAGTGACTTTAGGATCTCATACTCCTTCAGCACTCCCTGCTTGCTCTCCTGGCTGTAGGGAATGATTTTGGCCATGTAGATCTTCCCGGTGGCGTTCTCCCTGCATTCGCGGATCACCCCAAACCGACCTCTGGACACAAGAAACACAGCAGCTTCAGCTACAGGAGGCACAAATCTAATCTGATCAAAAGATGAACCTCCTAAGATACCACTGGACATACTCTTTTACTCTTTAAGGACACTTTTTCGATGTGAGTTATAACACATTAAATTTTTATTTGATGAAAATAATGTATTTTTGAACAGAATTTTGAATTCTAAATAAAAAAAATAAGATTAAACAAGAATATTTGGAGGGTGTTTCATGGAGTATTCCAGTTTTTCCCCTGACTACAATTAGATGCAGTTGGATTCTGTCTAACCTGGCCTTCTCATCCAGGAAGGTGTATGGTTTCTGTGGAACTCCTTGTCTCAGAGCAGTAGAGGGCGTGCTGTGTCCAGATGGGGTACCTCTGATCGGGGTGTTGGCACCCTCTGCAATGGGGCTCAGGCTGGAGGCCTGGAGAACTGGTGGGGAAAAAGACACCGGGGTGGGAGCCACGTGTGCCTTGGTGGCGGTGGTGGGGACGTAGCTGGGTACGGATGCAACCAAAGGTTTGGTAGGGGTAGAGGGCGGGCTTACAAGAGGAGGCGGGGTCTGGGTCATAGGGGTCACCACGTTTATCGGACTCTGGGGCTTGAACAAGATGAAGGACGGAGAGGCTTTGACTGTGCCAGAGGAAGGCAGAGCACTGCTTTGCTTTTCCTCTGGGCTTATGCTAGCAAACAATGATGGAAAACCTATGGGAGGGTCAGAGGTCAGGGCAGATGGAGGAGGAGAGGTTGAGAAGGTGGAAGTGACTCTGACATCTGGGTTAGGTTTCAGCGCTGATTCAGGTGGAGTTGGGACTGTTTTTACTACAGCAACTGCAGGTGAAGCTCCTCCTTCTGCACAACAGATACAAGACAGTGATCACTAGGAGATATTGGTCTCATGTTATGGAAACTACATCTGCATTCAATATCTCAGTCTGCATCAGGAAACTGTCATAAAGCAGAAGAGAAGACGGAGGATAACTTCATCATACTGTTTCTTCTTTAATTGTTTATTATAACCTTTTGTCATGGTTATTACTCTAATTTGTCATTTCCACTTCCTATATCATTCCTGTATTGATCCACAATAATAATAATATTATTGATTGTCTATATTAAGGCGAAAACTCACCTGTTGAGTCCAGGCTGACTGGAACAGAACAGTTGCTGTGAGGACCTTGTCCTGCCTTGTTGACGCAGGAGACTCTGAATCTAATAGGCCCCCCTGGTGGAAGGTCAGTGACATTGTAGTAACAGTCAGCTATCCCAGTGGCCACAGTTACCCAGTTAGAATCAGCTACAGAAAAACACAAAAGATTTATTTTTAAAAAACGTACAGTAATAAAGCATGCTGCACGAGTTCAGCATTACGACACACAAAAGATTAATGAACAAGATCAAGCTTAGAGAACATATTGTAGTTAACATTATGGCCACTAGGTGGGAGTGTTGGCATGCTTATCAAGTAAATAATTAGCTTAGCATCTGTCACAGTGTCTAATTCCCTCTTAAGATGAATTGAAAGCAGCTTGACTTATATAAGCAACCAATTTAGTAACTTTACACAAATATAACTGTGGACATTTAATAAATACTTAATCTTCTGCTCCAAATTCAGGGTTCATAAACATTCCAGACTTTTTAACACTCATTTCCAGACTTCTCAGGCCTTTACATTTATCCATCCATCCATCCATC